GAATCTATAAATATGCTAATTTTGGTGGAGTCTTTAATAATAGGCTGATTTACTCTGAAGAAATCAAATATATTAGATCAAGGTGCACTGCATGACAATGTCTGTTAGTTTTCTGTCAGTTTGTCTGACATTTTGGTCCAGAGTAAGATAACTAGACATATGTCAGCAGCTAGTGGACACATTGGAATGCAATTGGATTTGGATATGCCTGTTCCCTGGAGGATATTTCCTGGTGGCTTAGTTAGGCATACTCACGCTCATGAAATAAAATCTTTAGATTCTTGTGACCCTGTGACCTTTGTACTAGCCCCACCCTGAGAGATGAATGTAATTGTCTGTTGAAGCTTCAGACTTTCAGTCTTGTTAAGATATCGATGCCCATCCAGACAGGGTAGTCCCTAAAAATGACATTTTATGAATTTCCTGTAAAGAAATGTCAAAACCTAGACAATTGCTCTGCAGGTATATTTTTAGATATGTCATAATTCTCAAGGATTCCTGAGCTCAAAATTGAAATGTATAATGATGACATCCTGGGAGAGAAACAATTGGCGCTGATGCATTTGAATGCTGATGTGCTTGCACATCTGTTTAGAGCGTGTCACTGTGAATGATGACACTGCCTTCCTCACACATGACATTCTCTGCACTAAACATTTGGCTGAGACCTGTGGCTATTCATCAACTTGTCAGCAGCAGCAGACATCCATCATCCACTTTCATTCCGTGTGTCTGTCTTTCTCCCTCTCTCTCTCTACACACACACAAGACACACACACACACAGACTATGCTGGTACTGAGGAGATCCCTTCAGGCTGACACATTGCCTGGGCTCTGGGGAGATTGCATGGGTATGTGTGAAGGATGAGGCCACTAACTGTCTCTGTATTGTTGTTTTTATTTCCTCCAGCCAAAGTTGTGTTTTCTTTCATATTCTAACAGGAAATGTATAAAAAGTAGGATAAAATGCTGATGCCAGCGTATGGCCTATTTCAGGTTTGAGTACAGCAATAAAGCTTGGCAGGCTCTGGTTGCGCATTATTCATTTTTCATGTTATTTTAATTTTATCATAAAAAAAGTCTAAGCAAGCTTTTGGGAATCGGCTAATTTGTTGCTGACTTTCAGAGGGAAAGTAGCAACTGGAGCAAGTGGAGATTAGAACAAAAAGATAACCAAAATGTAGTGAAACTTAAATTATGAAACATAGTAACTATCACAAAGTTAATGAGCTCATGAATATTAACAATCTCTGTTAAAGAGAAATATACTGCAGTAGCACACTATTTACTGTCTACCAACCTTGTTGAACTGTAAGTAGTATCCATCTAATACCATTGTGTTATAATTCAGTTCAATTCAATTTTATTTGTATAGGCCGAATTCGATAACAGAAGTGTATTCAGGACAGCTTTTTCACAACGAATAGAGCAGGTCTAGACCGGAAGCGTCCTTGATGAAAATTATTTACAGAGTTCCCACTTAGAACTGTTAATGTATTATGAATATAATCTCTTTTACCACGTAGCACTGTTACTCTTGTTTTTATATGTTGTGTTTTGTTTTATGCTGTCCATTTCATTTTACTCTTTCCACATTATTCTGTAACTTTATGTAGAAAAGTGTTATAGGGTGTCCCAGTGGACATGCTCACCATGTAATTGCAATGTCCCCGGTTCATGTGAGTGAAATCTTTATAAATTGACCTTCCTTAAGATGAGAATTAAATTTTTTCATATCTCACTCATATTGCCACATTGCCTGTGGTATATATTAATAAAATACACTATTCCCTTCACAACCGCTCCCTTTCTGCCTGCAGCTGGCCTCTTCCTGCAGGAGCTTGCACTCAGAGACGAAAACAGGACATAAATAGTTATGTTTGTTTATTTCTAATAAAATATTCAATTGGCACTTTACCCTGACTCACCCACCTTCTTTGTTACATGCCTTGAACTATTACTATTAATTTTAAACGGAATATAATTTAACTAGGTTTATATAGCCAAATTTATAATCAAAAGTCAGTAATGGTAATTGCTCGTTATTATTATAATTATTATAGTTAAAAACTCTATGAATTTAGAGAGAAATTAACAACTTTAACAAAAGAATAATAACATAACAAGACAAGTATAGGAGTATAAGAAAATGAGTCGAAGAGAAAAAATGAAAAATAAATAAATATGTAGGCTACATAAATAAATCAAAAATTGAAATAAAATATAAATTACATTCATACAATTTTGTCTTAAATAAATAGATACAGTATATTAAAGTCAAACACCGGATAAAGTGTGTTTTCTCTGTTGCTGATGAGAGGTTGTCTTTACCCACAATGCACAGCGGAACAGCCACGTAAACGTACAGATCCTCCCCGCTGCTAGCGTTAGCGTTAGCTTCCTCTGCTCTGTGCAGCTGATGTCACTGATGTCCACACGATGCTACACTCGTTCACCAGGTATTACACACTCACTTCACTCTGCCAGACATATGTGTTCCGTTCAGGTTTGCCTAAAGCTTTACATTGAGTGGTGGCTGTGCTAAGCAGCTAACGTTAGCTGGAAGGAAATGCTGGTGAACATGCTAATGTGGCTAGCTGCTAACTTAGCTAGTTGGCTAGTTTTCCTCTAATGCAAACCAGCCGCTTATATCCTTTAACGTTACAAGAAAACGACCGGTATCGACGAACTTGTAGCCAATGAGCGTTCGGTTGACTTTTATGTGAGCGGATGAAAATAAACCCTTATGAACGTCAGCCCTGAGCCATTGACCCGCTGCTCATAAGGGGTAACAGCTAGCCAGCATGTCGTGGTAATGTATCACCGTTCTGTGAGTTCATTCAATCGGGGAGTAGCTGCTGTTGAACACCTGAGTTTGCGTTGAAGCTATGAAATGTTTTATCCGGTGATAAGCAGCTTCCTGTGAACGCCCCTTCGTTCAGTCTGGAGCTGTCCATGGTCCTAACACCACCGACCACAGCCACCGACCACAGCCACCGACCGGTACCGCGTTAATGCTGCTGGGAGGCTCTTAAACACTTTAATTGTGCCACCAGCTTTTAAATGCACTGTGCCCCATGTATGTATGTGGAACGAACCAACATAATGTCTGTATTTGTCTATTGTCATGAAGGTGTACGCTTGAATTCAAATCTCGCGTACAGATCTAAAGTGCATTGTCGTTTCGTAAACCTTGTTTTCCGTGTTTATGTAACGTTACAAAGCGGTGAGTGAGAATAACTAACCAGCTGTAAGAGAAGCAGCCGCACTGACACCTCTGGAGTCCACAGCGCCTCACATGTGCTCTCCCTCTGTCAAAACACTTTCTTCTGAAGTTTCCTGCTTTGTTGTTACTCCCTCGCCATGCCCGTGTACTGTGGATGTGTTGCATGAAGGTGTCGAATCATTTATTGACTTCAGAGCCTTCTTTACTTACAAAGCGTACTGCGTCTGCTTCTTGCAAGTGCTGTGATAACGCCATATAAACGAGACTCGTCTTTATATTGATGGGGGTGAAGTGTGCTTAGTTGTGGACAGTTTGACTCAAGTGCACCAAGATACACGTGCAGGGTACGTGTGAAGAAACACATGAGCAATATTAGCAGATAGCAGTGAGAGTAAGATGACATTATAAATGTTCATAGTAAGATATTATGGTGGGACTCACTCATAATGGGGTGTAAATAATGGGGGTGCTGCACATTTATTGCTGCAATGCTAACATAAGAGAATGAACTGTGTCCAGCCTGAGTTAGCAATAGAGTGGTGTTAGCAGTTATTGCAGCTTCACCGTCATCGGCATTATCCAGACAGAAACATCAACAGTGCCTGTCTGTTTTCCTGTCTGTTTGCAGGGCTTCAGTGAGATTGCCAGAGCTGTAAGATGTCGATGGTGTTGTTCGCCTCTGTGGTTCGGGTCGGGGACGGCCTTCCTCTCTCTGCATCCACTGACTATGAGCAGGACAAAGAGCTTCAGGAGACCAAGAGGCATCTCAAAGGTCTCTCCAAGAAACTCAGCCAGTTCCCTGACCGCTGCACACTGAAGACTGGACCTTATAATGTCAAGTAGGTCATCTAGGGTTTGAAATTGCCAATGTTTGGACATTTTAAAGGGACCCTTTACTTCCATCCCATTATAAACCAAGTATATCCAATACCCTGTTAACTGCAGATAACGGTTTGTACGTGCTAGATAACATCAGGGTTTGTGTGACTTCACATCTTTTCAATTCATGGTAGTTTCATAGGTCAGTTTAGAGATATAACTTTGAGATTTAGATCATTTTCTATTGACACCCATGGGCGATTAAACAATCTACTGCTGACAGCTTTTCTGCCCTCCACTTGACCCGTCTAACACAACCTTGATGGAAAAGATCTTTTTAATTTGAGTGATTTGCCAGCTGGGCCTTCATTTGAGGTGTCAGAATGCTCCGAAAAGCCCCGCTGGTGCTTCGGGAAGTGCTTTGAAACTCTCTCAAGCACTATTTGTTAAGAGCTAATTAGTCTTATTAAGACAGAGAACATGAGCTCAAAAGACACTCAGAATTGGCTATTAATGAGCCAACTATACTATAGTCTCCCCTGATAAGAGTCTCTTTAATCAATGGGAGCCTGAAGCATCTGAAGAAGAGAAGGTCAGAATGAGGCAGGTAGTGTTTAAAGTCACAGGTTAATCTATTATGTAATATTCTGGGCCCTTTAGAGGCTCTTGTTATGTGATGCAGGAGGAGATTATTTGTATCACTTTGTGTGAAAATAAATCAGTTGTAAACTGTATTATATCTGACTTTATTAAGTTTATTTGGACATTTGTAGGGATTTAGAATATAATGTCTCTGATAGGATTTACATTTTATTGTATTTTAACATATTCATCCATCAACAGTAATACCGGAGGACCAAATTTATTTTATCTCTTAACAGTGAGTTTATGACTTTCTGATATTACAGGGCTTCAGACTACGCTTTTACTCTGGTGCACATAACTGCTTCGTTTAGGTGCACCAGGACGGGATTTAGGTGCACCTACTAATACATTGTAACTTATTATGTAAATGACAAACATTTGAATAAAGTGATACATCAGATTAAATGAGTTAGACTTCTTGTTTAGTAAAGGCTAGGATTTGTGGCTGCTGTTTGTAAACACATGATGTAAAGTGGGAGTTAGAGAGAGAAAGAGAGAGAGCGAGAGTGAGTGAGTGAGTGAGAGCAGTGGTGGTTGAGTGACCTAGAGCAGAGGGATTGCCATTAAACAAAGCAGTGAATCAGAGAATTAAAAAGTTATTTTCTGAGTTTTACAGCAGTTATGTTAGAAATAAACATGGTAACAGCTACGCAAAACAGTCGAAGCCAGGCTTCCTCCTGTCTGCTGTGCTTGCATCTGTGCAGCACTATTTGTTACAGCTCTACAGAATGTTCTCCTCAGAAATGCTGCAGGAAGAGGGGCTGATCTGCCAGCCACGCACCAGCTGCTTTATTAGATCTGCTGAATTTCAGGTGCACCATTGTGACCAATGAACATGTTTGGTTGTACTTGACAGATTTGTGGTCACATGTGCCTGGGGCCCTGTATTACAGGCACTGTTGGTCTGTGCGTCCTGTTCAGAGACCTTCAACGTGATGGGAAACTAGTAGGATGCCAGATGTGGAGACGCACTAATAAAAGCTGAACATGTACTGTTGACCCACTATAAGGGCTTGTGATTTATTTTAAATTCAGAATCCAATTCCTGATTCTTGTAATGAGTATTAGAGCTCTGCATGGTCAGGCACCTGCATCGGTGAACTCATCCTGCCCTGTATCACTCGTAGGTGTCTGAGGTCTTCCGATCAAGACTAGGTGGATGTTCCTCCCTGCAGGCGTAAAACTAAAGGAGACTGTACCTTTTGAAGTTGTGGCTCCTAAATTTTGAAATTCATTCCCTTTGACTGTTTGAATCTGGTTTCTTCTGTCTTTTATAGTGAAGCACTTTGTGATGTCAGCTCTTGAAAGCTGTTGTCAAATGAACTTTACTTACTGCAGCTGTGATATTTAAGAGACACTCATATCAGTAATCACACAGCCAACTTGATGCTGTGTACTAACTGTGAAGGGAGATTTGGTGTTTTTCACCCGCCTCTCTTTGATATTTGTGCATTAGTCAGTTTGGTTTCTGAGGCGCTGCAGCTACACAGTGACATACTGTTATCAGATTCAAACTCATTCTTCAGATGTCTTCTATTATGCTTTTTTTTGTTTGTTTGTTTTTTCTAGCCACATGATAATCATCACATCACTCTACTGTTCGTTGACATTTATGTTCCACATCAATTTAGATGTTGCTCTGATAACCAGCTTTCCCCTCAATTGTGCTCCGAGCTATTCCGATAATGTAGAGGTTTTTGTATCTGGGGAATTTAATTTGTGCTCTGTGTATCAATTAACACTGCAGGGCAAAAAGATAGTGTCTGCCTATGTGCATGTGAATGTGGTATGGTGTTTAATTAGCGGTGAACGTGTACATTTTAGTCACAAATGTGCTGAAATAATGTTTGTTCTGTGTTTAGAGCAGCTGCCTGCAGAATCAGAAATGCCATTGTGTTTTTTTTTTTTCTATAATCTGCACTGTATTTAGCTTGGTGTCCTAATTACAGTTTCACAGCTTTTCTGTCAAGAGAAAAGAGTACAGTGCGTGGAAAGCAATAATGTTTGTGCACGTGTGTGTGTGTGTGTGTATTTCAGTTTCACTAGCGCACTGGGTGTTGGATACCTGATGGTGTGCACTGCAAACTATCCCAATGTGCTGGCCTTCTGCTTCCTGGACGAGCTACAGAAAGAGTTTATCGTCACATACGACCCCAAGCGAATCAGCAACGCTGTGCGGCCATACTCCTTTATTGAATTTGGTGAGCTCCATGCAATTACAAGGGCAAGGGTAATAATAGAGGGAAAAGATTCATCACGAAATAAGAAGGTGCACCAGTTTCTCTTAGAAAATTAGCTTCATGTTAATGAATGTTTTAATTCACGCTTTTTGTAGACTACAACATTTTGCTTAACTTCCCATTATTAATAAAAAAATTTGTATATTCCCTCTTCCTGTATGTAAACACGGAATTGAACAAGGTATATTTTCCAGAGCTCAACAAAAGGTATTCTGGGAAATGTAACTGTAGCGAGTGTAAAAAAGGCAGGTTTAGAGAAAGTGGTTGCACTAAAATATGAGAAACGACAAATAATTACAAAATGACTTCATGCAATTATCTCAACAAAAAAAACATTACAGTTTATTATGCATCATCATTGCCATTTTTGATTAATCTGTGTAATATTTTCAGGATTCATGTAATAATTGTTTAGTCTGTAAAATGTCCATTACGAGATGTCAAAGGCCCAGTGAACATCAAACGTTAGACAAACGATCTGAAACCCATTTTGTGATATGAAAACAGGGAAATTCAGCCAATCTTTAAACCAGAGAATGTTTGGCATATGAACTTTATAAATAATTTAAACAATCAATCATCAAAATGTGTGTAGCTGTCTGCCAATCAGTCCATTAATGAATCATTTTACAGATACAGTATCAAAGACTGAAATCTTGTTTTAACCCAAACAGAACGTCCTGCTCTCACATACAAATGATCTGTTTGTCTCCCTCTTTTTGCCCCCTGTGTAATTAACCACCTTGTTGTTGTGCTCACTGTCATCCATCAGACACCTTCATCCAGAAGACCAAACAGCGCTACAACAGCCCACGTTCCCTGTCCACCAAGATCAACCTGGCTGACATGCAGACAGAGATCAAGCTGCGACCGCCCTACCAGCTCTCCCCTGAGGACCTGCGGGCTATCAATGGATTCTCAGTGCACACACCCTCTAAATACAAGGGCATAGGTAGGACATGAGCTGCTGTCACACACACATTTACACACCGCATACATAACCCATCCAGCTATCAAAGAAGTGTGTTATTGTAATAGACTACCTACTTAATTTCCCCTCTGGGGATCAATATATAAAAGCGCAATCTCATCTCATCTTCCTCTCATTACTTGCCACTATTAACACTCGTAGCACTGGTCTTTGTAGGACCATGACATAGAAAGGTCACTGATCATTTCCACAGAATACTGGGTCCTTTACAACACCAGTAAAGGAATAATAGCGGGTGATTTGACTTTTTGAGCTGTTTGATTTTTGAACAGTTCACATTAAACCTGTAAACTCTTCCACGTGCTTGTTATATTGTTTAAAGGTGCAGTATAGTGCCAAAATGTATTCCCATCGGTACATTTTTAGTAGTTTAGTTGTTTTATTTAAATCTCCTGTTTCTGCATTGTAGTGCATCAGCAACCACCTTTTTGAATTACACTTTATTTTACTTGAATTGGTTTATAGATCACTTACAGTATCACATGAAAGAAATCTATCTTTCTGTAGACAGATATCTTGCTGAAATAACGTACTTTCATTTCAAACAAAAAAATAACCTTTAATTTTGAATATTAAAGAATTGGTGAACATATTATTAAAAACAATACCAGAATGTATTTAAAGAATACCCTTTGCAGCGCAAAATACTCTTATTTCAACATTTATTGTTTTAATATTACTTTTTAAGGATGATTAAGAGCTCATTTTGTGATGTCTCCGTGTTTTTTGTCTTTTTGACTTTCAATTATGCGTAATATTTTTGGAGCTACCATGTAGTGAACAGTGTGTTCCTGCCTACTTTTGGAAGACTGGCAACATAAAATCTGATGAATATCAGTCTAAACAAAAATTTTCTTCTTTTATAAACTCCAGACATTCACGACTAAAGTTGTATGTCAAAAACAAAGGCAGAAATACGCATACGCATTCTTATATTCAGGTCTATGAAGCTGTGCCCCTGGTTCTGTTTTTTACATCTCAATCATTGAGGAACTGGGGGACTGGGGAACTTAAGTCTCTTCACCTCTGCCATGTCCGCAGAGGTTGCTGAGCCCGATTCCAGGCTTTGGTTCTGGCACAACACCGGCTGCACTCCCCATCTGCATTCCCCACTGGCTCCCCTTTCCGCCAGGCCTTAAACCTTCTCTTCCCGACTGTCAAAAGCTCCTTTGCTAGTGGAGTAAATATACTAACTCTCTCCTGGTGCTTTAAGCTCCCAGTCCAGGCAGCACAGACTGTGATAACTACCTTAGAGGGTCATTTACTTACCTGAAGGACATCGGAGGGAAAGCCAGAAAACATTTTCTCCATAAAATATGATCCAGTTTCACCAAAATCAGTAAAGCGTGGGGAGTGGGGATGACAGAGTCACCATTCACCCTATTACAAGTCGGTTTAGCATAAAAAATATATTGAAGCTGTTATTTTAAGGTAGAAAAGTTACATAATGAGGCTTTAAACAACTGTTTGCATGTCGATACTTGTGCCCACTCCACCACTCAGTAGACCTGTCAAAATATAATGAGTGGTAGACGAATGGAAAAGAAGGGCAACTTCACTGACTGTGTTGCATCAGCTAAGTTCTCCAACAGCGGCAGAACAGCTCTCATTATGGGTATTTATAGCACTCATGCCATTAATTAATCTCATGTACCTGTAGACCTTCATCGTGGAATATCTCAGTGAGTTATTAGTTATCAGTTATCAGTTATTAAACATCAGAAATGAACATTAGTGTTTAATCCATAGTCCATATTCAAACAGACTTTGCAATGTGATTCATTGCAAAGTCTGTTTCAGTTTGAGTCTGATTCATGATTCAAGGAGATATAATGACTATAATATAAATAAAAAGGATGATAGAATTTGTCACTCAAAGAATTAAAGTTACGTTTATAAATGCGCCTTTTATTGACATTTTACAGAACGCTGTGTAGACTGAAAAAATGGCACTGAAGATAGCAAACATCCTAAACTAATAATGTTTTACTATAAGGTTACAGCTATTACATGATGTTTCATGTCATCTGCACCTATCTCAGCTATCTCTCAGCTAAGTATATGCACATTCTTCTTTTATGATCTCATTTTATGGAAGGGGAAAGGGGTATGTGTGGTTTTGTCTGTATGTAGTTTTTATACATCTAGTCCCAGGTATTTTTTTGTTAAAATCTGTAGAAAAGAAAAACAAGTCCTAAGGATACTGTGTGTCTTGTGGTCTGATGTGCTTTGCTCAGTCAAACAGCTCCACTTGCTCCCTTCCCCTCACTTTTGCTCCCTTCCCCTCCACTTGCTCCTTCCCCTCACTTGCTCCCTTCCCCTCACTTGCTCCCTTCCCCTAACTTGCTCCCTTCCCCTCACTTGCTGCAGAAAACAACCCTCCTGTACGCACCGTCACACCTCAGCTGCCCCAAGCTAAATGATGCCACCTCGGGTCACTTACAGCGGTTGTGTTCCCCCTGACATCCTCTTAAGGGCAGCTCTCCACGCTTTGTTCGCTCTCTGTTGGTTGCCCTTTTCTGAGAACATAAATCATTTTGTCCCGGAGGATGAAGTATTCTGATCTGATAATAGTGACGCATCACTCCTTTTACCTTGCCAGAATATTTTGGACAATATATGCTTGGCTTATCATTTCTATTCAAGGATTTTTCCTTTTATCCTTCATTTTATAGTTTTTTATTACTAGTTACATTAATAAATTGCATATGTTTTGCTATATACTTTGAAGCTCCTTTTTTCTTAATGCTTTTGTATCTCATTTGTCAAAGCAGATTGTGCTGAGTTTGTAATACCATGTCCTTTCTCTCTTCCAGCTCCCACACAGATGTTGGAGCCAGTGACTCTCCCTGGCATTGTGTCCTGTGTGCTCAGTGTCCTCTGTGGAGGCCTGAACCTGCTGCGAGGAGTCCACGCTATAGAGAGCATACTACAGGTTAGGACATATAGGAGAGGACATTCAAACAGATTCTGTTTCTCTAAAAGTGAAATTCTGGATTCACATAACCTGGGTCCTATTTTCATAGTTTCAGCTGTCGCCATATTGGTAATAACAAAGTTAAGCAAATTCCTAAGATCTGGGAAAGCAGTGACTGCTAAAAAGAAGCCAGACGGGGCACGAAACACAGACACATCAGACAGGTTTCAAATTATTTTCCAGGTTAGTGAAAATGATCTGGAAGAGCAAATGAATTCAACCTGTACAATTACAACCCAAACTCCACAATTTACATTCATCACAGTTTACAAACTGACATCCTTGCTCATCATGGGCTTCCTCTATTACTGTGGTTGTTTGTACACAATTTTCTTATGTAACAAAGAATTATCACTGACATTATTCGATCTCTTACTTTCGGTTTTACCTCCAAATAAAGTGGCTTAGATATAATATAATACCTGGTGTCTAGTTAATAACATACAATGTAATAGTTATCATAAACAATAAACCTAAAAATAAGATCCAAATCATTAGCATCAATTAACTTTCTTTAACAAAGGTACGTAGAATTCATTTAACTGTGGTGCATCACAGTGTCAGTCTGCCATATGCCATTCAACTGTAAATGTCACATCATATTCTATTAAACTAGATAAGACTAAATGAAAATGAATTTTCTTGTCATATTCGTTTCATGATGCTTTGTCTAGACATGGATGACTAGTGCTAAAAAAAAAAAAAAAAAACCCAACCTTTTTTCTTGTCTGCAGAATGACGATGAAGACTTTAATTACGTGATTGCCTTCTTCCTCGGCACAGCAGCCTGTCTGTATCAGGTAAGTGATAGTCTGCGGTAAGAGCAGCCCATCACTGGCTGACTGGCTGACTAACAGCCCTGCACTTTACAGCTCAGCAGCTTGTCAGCTAGACTAACATTAGCAAAAGCTCAATGTCTTTTACCCCACTACCTTCTCTAAAACATTTTCATCAGCCCCTTTTGTGCAGCCTTGATATTAAATGGAGCACCACAAATTGATAGACTGATGGTGGGAACAAAGTTATCAGATGGGGTTTCTTACTTGCTGAGCAGACTTATTGTCCCGTGGAGGACATTAATGATGAAAACATGTCACACAAAGTGTGCAGCATTTAAATTCTTCTCTGTCCTCCTACTTTCAGTGCTACCTGTTTGCCTACTTCTCTGTGTGGAGGAACAGTAAGTCCTTCCTGGCGTTTGCACTCATCTGTCTGTCCAACATGTATCTGTATGAACTGAGAAACATGTGGCAGATCCTCTTCCATGTGGCAGTGGGGGCCTTCATGACTCTGCAGATCAAACTGAGGCAACCGCTGGGAAAAGCGCCAGACTACAACGTCTGACAAAAACTTCAAACACAAAGGACTACTGACGATGTCTTGCACGTGCCCTGGAAATGCAGCGGAGACGGCCCTGACCCGCCGGGGGACAAAGAAAAAAAAACCCAAATCCTTCCAGTTCAGAAAGAGAAACCGAAAAATGTGCGGCACCACAGTAGTCTGGTCACTTTATCCCAGCACCAGTGCACAGTGACAGATCTCAGTGTGAACAGCCACGCCCCAATCATTCATGGAGCTTATTGGATGGATATTCGGAGTTGTCTACTCTGCACCATAGTCTGTTTAAGATATCTACTTTTACTTCTTTTAAATGCAGCCGTAGTTTAGCTCAGAGTCCTGCATATGTGCAGTTTTTCATATCCATACTCTTCCTGCACCTCAGAACCAACCTGCTACAGATAACACTCAATCCCAACAAATACAAAGGCTACACATTCACCCCATTTAAAGTGCTCTAGTTGTTACTAGGAATTTATCACCCAAATAAGATCCCTTTCAGTACCAACAAATTCATGCTTTTTAAATACTGAGTTTGTTATATGGGACTAGTTCTTGGTATGCTTTACTTTGCACACCTCAGGCATGCTGCCTAGACTCAGCAGGGTGGCCAAGAGAGCAATGGCATCGTCTGGGTTTATAATTTTTTATTTTAGAAATTAAGTGAAACTTATCATATACAGTACACGTTTTGTATCAACACAAACCAGCTGCACAATAACTTTGCTGGAATTAAAATGCTGCCTAAAATTAGCATAATTAGTAAATATTTAAATCAGGACATATCTGGTCATAGTGTAAGTAACCAAGAGTAAAATCCAACACACATCAACCATGTCAAGTAGAATGGGTCAGCTGACATGCATGTTGATTTGTGCGAATGTGGTCAAAGTTTCTGCTTCTGGAGAGCTATGTGAACCAACCTGGAAAATACGACAGTGGCGTATTCTGAGGAGTCACTGGATCACAGGGTTACATAGAAAACAATGGATGCAGTGTATGTTGCCCTTAAGAATTTGACCAGAAATTTGATGACAGTTGTCGGTATTTGACGGTCTTTGATGCTCGAGCTACAGACACATTTCTGGTTGTACTCAAATATTATTGAGGTTCAATACACAGCCCTGTTATTTCAAAGGCTAAACAGATGTTCAACAGCATATAGCTGAAATTAAACATATTAATCACTATTTTTTAAAATCATGTGCAGACTATTAAAAACTTAATAACTGCTTAAGGAACATAAAAACACTGCAAGACTGGACATCTCCCATTCACATCACCAATATCATCAGTTCATTTTGTGTTTTGTTTTTTTTCTACCTGTTAGATGCATTTTTTGCACATGTACCGGTGTGAACCTGACCCAGTGCAGGACTCTGGTTTAGGTCTTGGTTTAAAACTATGCAATGCTGCCTTGTGTGCGTGGCCCTCATCCTGTATTAAGGAGCCATTGATTTGCAGATAATTGTCATTTTGATAGTCCATTTTGCTATTTATTTACTGACTGATTGTTCCAAGACATGTGGTCAATGAACATTTATGCAGCTTTTATTGCTTTAATTTTGTTGTTTTATGATTGCTCCAATTTTTTTAAACGCAGACTGGCGGCCTGTTGTCACAAAGTAACTCCTGCTCCAGTAGACACAAACAGCCTGTTAGCATTCATACCATCTTTCCTCGCCCACACAGCCTCAAGCATATGCCAGTGTCAAGTGACTATGTTAATAAACAGGTCTGTGTTGGCAGCAGTAAAGATACGTGGCTGTGTTGTGGCAGCCAGAGGCAGTCCGCATCATTTGAGCCGCCTCGGGTGTGCTTTTCCTCCCACCGAACCCCTCGGTTCAGACACCGTTGGGCCCGCCACTTTTGAAGACAGAAACTCAGTCTCTCACTCTCTGCCTTTGTAATGGATATTAGCACAGTGTTCACATTTAACACAATTACAGTCAGGAGATGCCACATTTATTTTTATTAGGCAGTGTGAGATTTGTTAAGGAAATTATGGGAAGATTTCCTGGTCTCCTGCGCCATCCCAATAAATGATAGCAAACAAATGGAGAAGGGTAGAGAATTGAGTCATGCCTTTTATTGTTCATTGTTCATGAGTAGCTCAACAGTTGTGCCAAGATTGTCATAAAAACTATTCTCTCTCTTACTGGAAGAAGCAAAAATGAAAAGGAGTACAGCCACGCAGCTCCACTCCATGTCCATCTGGCATCTGCACTACTGATCTGTCGGGGGACCGCTGCAACACTTCAGCCTCGTATGATTCATCATTGCGCTCTCTGGATGTTCCCTGCTTTCCAACAGCGGTGCCACACCTACATGACCTAATCGCTCTTTTCACAATATGGCTCGGATTCGATTGGACCTGAATCCAGCTTCCCTGGCTCAGATTGTTTGGGTTCACATTCTCCTATTCCACAGCAGTTACAGTAAATGTGTAGTGTGGGTGTGTGTAAAATAGAAACAGTTGAAATTCAAGGCTTTAATACTGGTTTATCCAAGTATGGAAAACGAATGTGATCATTAAAACTTGCTGAAAACGTATTATATGTGGTGTTGTACAAATTCTTAACATTTTGTTTTTCACACAAGCTTTTGAAAGTCCCTCTGTCAGGATCAGAATATAGAAATTGTGTTTGAAAAAATATTTAATTGCGAAAGAATGGATTTGATTTGAAATGGAAACTGTGTTGGAACACTGGATTTAAAGCATATTTGAGACCAGAAATGTTTTGTCCATTTTCTGTTGCACATGAAGGCACATTGATTCATCACATTGTGCTCTGGTCCTCTTCAGTCAACTTGAAACGTATCTACTCTTGTATTAGGACTCATTGTCTCTGAGCTCAGCTATGGAACATTGAACATTAAACAAATCTGAGACATTACCATTACCATTACAGTGATATCCATTCTTCAACAAAAATTGAATGCAGTCTTTTTATTATAGCACTGCTGGGGCTTAATGAGGCATTCGATGAGATCTGATGCATGTTGCTGTAATTATGAAAAAGATTAGAAGATTCAAAGCACCCTGTGATAAGGAGGATATCGGATCCAAAGCCTTTGTAATTTAAAGGAAACATTTACCTAACCTTGAAGGCTGGAGCCTCCAGCATATGGTAAATGAGCACTGGAGTTTCAACTGCTAAATATAGTGAAACTGCTGAGTTTTGTTTAATTTCCTCCCCCCAAAGTCGTTTTTTTCCTTATCTCTCTGGAGCAACAAGAAGCAACAGATTGCCTTGTGATTCAGAGGCAGCTGAAACCCTTTCCAGGCAGCACTCCCCTTCCCAAATAAGTAATGGCACAAGAGGTATTATGAATACGATGATTATAATTGATGTTTTTTTGTAGGTGTCTCATTATGAGGAACAGCAATTTCCTCCAGATGTAGTTTAATAGAGCAGGGATATATTTTTTCCTGAGCAGGAAGTATGTGGATTTTAATGACAAATGGGTACTGCAGGTATAAATTGCAGACTACTTGAAGCACAATTTAAAGCTATCATGCTTCAAGTGAATGTCAGTGGTGGTAATGTTTTTGTAGCAAAGCTCACACAGTCAGGGGGCTCACAGGTTGGCTGCTCAAAAAAGGTCAAAATCATTAAGTCTGAGGCTCCGAGGAATTTGTTTGCTCCAACATTCCCCTGAGAAAAGCCAGGAAAACACTATTGTGGTAACTGCCTGCAGTACTGTGGCCTTTTATTCCATTAATGACCATTCAAATCCTTAAGTTATATCTAAAGATGCTCAGTCTAAATTGAGTTCAACGCTGCTACTTAAATACATATCAGGAGTTATTAAATTAACTAATAACCAAGAACCTAATTCATTCTTATTTGATCTAATGGCCAGTGATTTCACTTCTGTATAAATACAGATATTAAAGCTGTAATGGATGAAGTAACACTCAGGGTGCTAATCAGCAGATTAGCATTTTGCTTCCATCTCTTCCATCATATATAAACAGTAATCATGATGAAAAAAGAGACAAAGGGGCCATTGGTTTAAGCAAGAGATGTAGTGTTGCTGCCATCTGTTGGTGAGTGTTGAAAACATGTAAAAAGAATCTCATTTTCAGCACAATGCCAGCTGAGGGGTTTTAAACAATGTTGCATAAGAAAGCTTTAAAGGGGGGGTAGATTTTTATTGAGAGTATCTTATTTCCTTTGGACACTATTGTATATGGCTAAAGGTATGTGGGTGTTTGTTGAGCAGGTCATACAGAAACATTGTCATGTTAAAAAGGGTCTTCCAAACCTTTAATATACAGTCTGAAGCAACAACATAGACTAATATATTGTGTGCTGCGGAATAAAGATTTACTGGAACTGGAACTAAGGGGCCCTTGCACCAGCCATAGGGTGTCCATGTACTTTCGTCCATATAGTGTATGCCTGAAGTCTTGTTCTTCGTACAGAACCTTTAGCTTTGGTACTATATGAGTATGCTGAGACGACACAAAGTGAACTGCCGTTCATCTTAAAATCATTGGTGAGCTGACAACACAGTCAGAAAAGAATCCAGATGAAGTCATGTAGTACCTGTGAAACATCTCAGGAGTTTATTTGACTGTAAAAAAAAAAACAAAAAAAAAAACAATAAAAACAAAAGGGGCATAGTGTTTGGCATGAAAACAAAAACAACCCACGGTTTTGTCTCTGAAGCTGTTTTTGTCACAGACGCTGCCTCACCCTGTCATCTAATCAGTCATCAATCCTCAGCTGTATAATTGAAAAGGAGGCGAGCTTCTCCTTCTCTTTAAATCTGAGAAAGTATCTCCTCAGGCACCCCGTAGCTGCACCCCACATCTCTGATCTGTGCCTTCTCTCCAGCCCCTTTCTAATGGCACATTCCTGCACTATAAGCAGTAGAAAAAAGGGGGCTTGCGTGGGCGTAGAATGGCACCCCATTCAATGAGTCAAATGGGATGACACTTAAAAGTTTTAGCAGTGGTGTGTAGATAATGGTTGCAGCAATACAGTACATTAACAAAACAGAAACCACCAGAGTAGACCAGTGCAAGCTTATTTTCATTCTACAGGCTCAAAGCAAACGTTTTGACTCAGTGCCAAGTTTCTCTTAAAGGTTAAGGCAGGTGCTAATAGATATCTTTATATGAAAAGACCAACAATCATCAATGAATTGATCACACTAACAAGCATCGACCGTGTAGCAAAACCCGGATATATCTCATTCCTCTGTTCCACAGAGCTAACTGTTGTTGCCCAAAAATAAAATGTCTAAGTCGCACCACTGCACTGGATGACATGTCCCACTGGTATAGAGCCTCGGGTGGGCCCCTGGAATCTTTATACCTTTTACCTTGTTTAATAAAAAATCAGTTAATACATTGATCAATAAAAAAAACTTGTTTAATTATATTTATATTTTATATTTGTAATTATGCATTATAAAACTAGTTTCAAATTGGTCTGGTGATTTATAATCTATTTAGGAAAATGGAACCGCAAAAATAATAATAATACAAAAATGATCTTAAATTTAAGTTTTTAAACAGTAACAATGCGGAGCAGCAGCAGGAGCTCTGATTGGTTGGATTCCAACTGGCACATTGCAGCTGGCGAATCAGAGCTCCAGTAGTTGCTCTGCGTTTTCATGATCTTTTTCAATATTTAATCATTCATTTTGTGTTTCTTTATGCATAATTTCAATTCATATTTAATTCATTTTGTTAATAAAAATCTATAATGATTGCAGTGGTACAGTGAAACATCGATCCACTGTAGTTCATTTTGAGTCAATCCCACATACAACGTCCAGGTGCAATAATTACATACTAGCCTAGTGCAGCAACAGGGTTTTAAATAAACAACAGTCCCAATAAATGCTCTATTTGCTACAAACTATAGCGTTTACAGTGTTAAGGTAAAGGTTTATGTCTTCACAAGAGATAGAGGCCTGGGGGCTGAGGGTGCAGTGTGTGTAGCCACAGAGTAGGTGAGTATTGAGAAATGGACTAACACATTGTTGATGTTGGTCTTTTCAAAATATAAAAACAATGCTAGCCTCATCCTTTAGCCTTTCATCTCAAATATGGTATACTCCTCAATATTCTCAGAAAAAACTCAACACTGTCCAGACATTTACTGATTACTGTACTCTGTGACTCAGCCAAGACAAACAGAACCAGCTGTAATGTTTGGTAATAACATCACTAAAAATCACTAAAATCTATGAAACTGCCAGGTTAAAGATAGTTTGTCTGATGACATGCTGAGTAATGCTGTAATATTGAAGAAAACTGCTCGGATAAGAAACAAAAAAAAAAACAGCAGATAAAAGGGCACATTTCCACACGGGCTCGTCTGTCCCTGTCCACAGGATGAGCATCATCACCGTCAGTGTAGAGTTCATATTAAAGGCCTCATCGGAGATCATTGGACATTCATTGGGTCGTACCATCTGATTGAGCAAGCAAGAGGAGGTTGTGGAGCGATGCAGAAAGGGGTGGACGGCTGAAAGCACTGGAGTGCAAAAAGACTAATCCATTCCCAGACTCTAGTCTGCCATTCAAAGAGCGCACTCACTTGATTTTAACACTTTCTTCTCAACGTGAAATCCAAACACACTAGCAAAAGAAACGGTTGACTTCCTGCAGATCGAAAATGCTGAATTTGGTGAAAAGAGCAAGAAAATCGAGCATTCAGGGACGTCGATCTGCTGAGGCTGAGACCAGGCAACACTTGTGAGGACTTGTGAAATCCCAACATGAGTGATACGGTATGTATGTCTGAATACACATTGGTGTTTATAGATAGCTCTCTAATATATTAATGTACAAAATATAGAATCTTAAAATATTTGATAGGGTTTGGTGTTCTGAAGTCAAAATACAAAATGTCGAAGATTAGAAAAAAGCTCTTCATTGACATCCTCTTTGTGTTTAGTGTGTGTGTATATATGCTGTCCATACTGTAGTGAGAGTTTGTGAATTTATACATTTGACTTTCTGTAAACACTGCAGAGCGTTTTCTGTCTGTTCATACAAAACACAGTCCGACCTGTCTCTGAGGGACCTTCTCACCTGTAAAGACACACTCTCCACACAACTTACTGCGACTCCTCCATCAATCGGTTAATTACTGATGTGATCAGATATCGATGCAAGGACGGATTAGTGCTGCGGTGCTGGCTGAGTGCACAAACTTGAGAGTTTTGTAGCTCTATCACGACAAAAGGGACAAAATGTGTTTTCACATACAGTACATAAAAATTGTATACATACACATAAAACTGTCTGTGTTTTACATGTACACATATACTTCAGCAGGAGAAAGGCAGAGAGAAAGAGAGGAAGTGACGTAGGCCATGTCCTCCTGCGGGTTTGTCTGAAACCCTCAGAAAATCTGACAGACTGAAGCAAATAGAATTTCTTTAAGAACATTTTTCCTTTAGGACCTAGACTTAGACAGCCAGCGAAATCTGTCTTTTGCGCACTGATTGGACTTCTTTGGTCTCAATGGCAGATTCAGGCAAGTTAGGCCTCTTCCACTGACAGTTTCCTCCGCAGGCTGGGCTTTAGGATGAATTTTCTCATCCTTTCCCCATTGTGGCCTCAGTGAGTTTAAGAAAGGATCAGCACGGTAAAAGGGGACGCTTCAGTCAGTCTCAATCTGCCCCTAAGCTATCCGAGGTCCGTGAGCCTGCTCGTTATGTCGGAGGCAGAGTTAAGGCGCCTACCCCAGGGTGTCTGTTTGTCAC